CTAGTTTCAGGCTTGCCTGCGCTCCGTCTGGAGTAGTGTTTACACGAGTTGAAGGACTCGAGACTGCACGAGTGCCGTGCCCATAATGGGCTTCCATTTTGACTGTGAGACAAAGCGAGATTGTACATGGTTACCTCGCATGTGATCTATGCCGAGCTCTTGCCCGAATTACTCGGCGAGCACCTAGGCAAGAGTGTACTGGTAGCATCAGACTTCTAGAAAAAAATAAAGGTTTTCCCCATATAAATTCAAGACTGAGCCCTTAAGAACAGAGATTATTTTTAAACAAACAAAGAAAAATAGGGGATCTATACTTAACTACATTTTGACACTGTTTAGTTAAATTTTTTCCTATCACATTTAAAATGTGGTATATAAATTTGTAAAACTTACCTTTAATTTGTGATGAAGTTTACACTAAAATTTTAGGGTTTAAAAAACAATGAATGGGGCAACACTTAACTTTTATTTCACAAGCATCTTTACTATAACCTTACAAACAAAAAAGAGTCAATTTGATATAAACATTTAGTCAATCTAATAGAAAACTACTTTGCTATTAACAATCAAACCGAACAAAAGATTCAACAACAAATGAAACAACTTGAAATTATTTACTAGGCCAAATAAGCGCCGTCTGACCCAAAGGTCAATTGTAATCTGTTTGGTTTTTTTAATTTTAATTGTTTTTCTATGAAATCGCTGACAACGTCAACATTTCTACTAAACTTTTTCATGATTGTGAGACATAAAAATTTTAATTAATGGGTTTCCATAGAATTCTAAACATTCTAACTTGGCTGAGTAAGAATTGTTTGTCAGATATACTTACTTAAATATGGTGAAGTCTATAAGTGAGCCGGACAGTACTTTATGCAATAACTAGATTAGCCGAGTAGTTAAGATATATTTTCGCTTAACGAAGATTTTATCACAATCCTGGGAAGTATAAAAATTTTGAAGTTTTGGTTTTGACGCAGATGCTATTATTTTTTGTTGAGTCAACAAATCTTTTCTATAAGAATTAAATTTGTTGAGTCTGAATTGATGCAGCAATTTCAGTCAGTGCGCTGAAGGTACACACAAGAATACTAAAATTCTAGTCTGATGCATCAAATCTATATCTATAAAAGAGGAACTACGTATGTATGTATGTATGTGTGTATATATGTATAAACGTTATGGACTCCAAAACCGCTCGACAGATTGTAATGAAACTTTCAGGCATTATTACGCATCTTTCAAGGATGGTTTGTGTGAAGTTTGGTGCAGATCCATCATAAGGGCTCCGCCCCAGAGGGTTTTAAGTTGGCCAATATCAGACTTTTTGAACTACAATGTTTACAAATAAATATATGACAGCTGTTACCAGGCAACTGCTTTGTAGGTTTGAATAATCACAACATGCTGTATTAGTTATGATTTGAAATAGTGCCACAATGATTCCACAGAATGCAGCACAGAAAACTATTTTGCTTTTGGATAAGTAAAATATATTAAACCCCAATCGCAGCACACCTGTGCACTCAACAAGGTTTAAATTCTCCAATGTAAAACATTGTATAAATTAAAAACATATGTAAACATAAAAACCATTATCAAAGTATTATAAACAATAAAAGGGATGGCAAAGACTTGTCAGATGTTCTTGCGGTAATGCAATTAGACAAACGTGGGATTAATTTGGAGATCAGGATTTGCCCAACCTTCCAAACCACTGATACAATAAGGAAAAATATTTTCCGGAGCCCAAAAAAATACTGGAAAAAGGGATACAATTCTAATTTGTGAGAAGAAAGTCTGCATTATTTGGATGTGACTGGAGTTTTTAATAGGAAAAATAAATGTAAAAATTGTTGCCTTTTTCAGTCTGCAGCCATCACTGTGGGGAAAACCATACTGTCAAAAACAAGAATTGAATTAAAGCCGTTTCACCTGAAATTTATAGAAGAAAACGGATTTAAAAATAGTCAAACGAATGAACAGTGAAGGGGGAAACAGAAAACAGAGTGAAGAGGTAGAATGGAAACCAGATGAACAGTGAAGGGATAGAATAGGAAACAAATGAATAGTGAAGAGGTAGAATGGGAAGCAGACGAACAGTGGAGGGGTGGAATGGGAAACAGATGAAACAGTGAAGGGGTATATTGGGAGACAAAAGAACAATGAAGGGGTAGAATGGGAAACAGATGAACATTGAAGGGGTAGAACGGGAAACAGAGGAAACGGTGAAGGGGTAGAATGGGAAACAAATGAAACAGTGAAGGGGTGGAATGGGAAACAGATAAAACAGTGAAGGGGTATATTGGGAGACGGATGAACAGTGAAGGGGTAGAATGGGAAACAGATGAACAGTGAAGGAGAAGAATGGGAAACTGATGAACAGTGAAGGGGTAAAATGGAAAACAGATGAAACTGTGAAGGGGTAGAATGGGAGACAGATGAACAGTGAAAGGGTAGAATGGGAAACAGATGAAACAGCGTAGGGGTAGAATGGGAAACAGATGAAACAGTGAAGGGGTAGAATGGGAAACAGATGAAACAGTGAAGGGGTGGAATGGGAAACAAATGAAACAGTGAAGGGGTGGAATGGGAAACAGATAAAACAGTGAAGGGGTATATTGGGAGACGGATGAACAGTGAAGGGGTAGAATGGGAAACAGATGAACAGTGAAGGAGAAGAATGGGAAACTGATGAACAGTGAAGGGGTAGAATGGGAAACAGATGAAACAGCGTAGGGGTAGAATGGGAAACAGATGAAACAGTGAAGGGGTAGAACGGGAAACAGAGGAAACGGTGAAGGGGTAGAATGGGAAACAAATGAAACAGTGAAGGGGTGGAATGGGAAACAGATAAAACAGTGAAGGGGTATATTGGGAGACGGATGAACAGTGAAGGGGTAGAATGGGAAACAGATGAACAGTGAAGGAGAAGAATGGGAAACTGATGAACAGTGAAGGGGTAGAATGGGAAACAGATGAAACAGCGTAGGGGTAGAATGGGAAACAGATGAACAGTGAAAGGGTAGAATGGGAAACAGATGAAACAGCGTAGGGGTAGAATGGGAAACAGATGAAACAGTGAAGGGGTAGAATGGAAAACAGATGAACAGTGAATAAGGGGTAGAATGGGAAACTGATGAAACATCAAGGGGTAGAATGGGAAACTGATGAAACATCAAGGGGTAGAATGGGAGACAGATGAACAGTGAAAGGGTAGAATGGGAAACAGGATGAAAAGTGAAGGGGTAGAATGAGAAACAGATGAACGGTGAAGGGGTAGAATGAGAAACAGATGAACAGTGAAGAGTGAAGGGGTAGAATGGGAAACAGATGAACAGTGAAGAGTGAAGGGGTAGAATGGGAAACAGATGAAACATCAAGGGGTAGAATGGGAAGCAGATGAACAGTGAAGGGGTATAATGGGAAACAAATGAATAAAGGAGGGGTAGAATGGGAAGCAGATGAACATTAAAGGGATAGAATGAGAGACTGATGAACAGTGAAGGGGTAGAATGGGAAACAAATGAACAGTGGAGTGGTAGAATGGGAAGCAAATGAACAGTGAAGGGGTGGAGACCAGGAAGCAGATGAATTACAGTGCATGTGTAGAATGGGAAGCAAATGAACAGTGAAGGGGTGGAGACCAGGAAGCAGATGAATTACAGTGCATGTGTAGAATGGGAAACAAATGAACAGTGGAGTGGTAGAATGGGAAGCAAATGAACAGTGAAGGGGTAGAACGGGAAGCAGAAGAACAGTGCATGTGTAGAATGGGAAACAGATTAACAGTGAATTAAGGGGTAGAAGGGATAAGTAGTGATAAAACTGATAACTTGCTCCAGATGATTCTCTGGGCCTGCTTAGTTTCCATTACCAATATAGTTGTATCACCAAAAGATTCACTACCGGTAACAAGAGAAGTTTTTTTAGATTAATTTAAGATAATTATCTAAAGTTAAAGAATAAGGGGTTTTTTGCTAGCTTCTCTGATTTCAGAATCAGGGAGGGACAGGCACCGGTCCCTAACCTTTTTATATGGTGTCTTGGGGGGGGGGGGGGGGGGTTATGGAATTTAAAAAATGTCACTTAGATCATGATTTTACTTTGTACAGAAAAGTTATTTGCCCGTAAGTCAATTAAGCTATTATGTGTCAAACTTTCTGCCTGGTACAAAAGCCCTTGCTTACCATGGTGGAAGGAAAAACACTTGCTTACCTGATCATTTACCTTGTTGTGAGAGACTTCTGCCTCCCAGAGATGCCCCTATTTGCAGCACAAGCTGTACCGCTGCACAAGGTAGGGCGAGTTAAATGCTTATTAATTTATAACATTTTATTTGTTCCTACATTTTTTTAAATTATTTATTAAGAATTGTTTTTTTTTTACTTCGTTCACAACGATTGTTTGGTATGACAAAGAGATATTTGAAAAGCATTATTTAATTGCTTAGGTAGGTACGGTATAATACGTTTAAAGACCTTTATTCTTTTTTAACACCGAGATTATTGGTACCAACCAGTACCAACTAAGGTTTGACATAAAAAAAATGTATATTTCAGTTTACTTCAATTAGATACCATAACTTTGTTTGGTTATAGGTTATTACTTAAGTTACTGTATTAGGAAACAATTTACAAAGCAATATTTCCCCCCAACAACAGGTATCCCAAACTTTGAAAGATTTAAAAATGTTGCCAAATCCTAAAGGAGTAACGCTAAGCCAAAATAAAATCGTTTTTAATTAATCTGATATTTGATCATCTTTGCCTGGTTTTTTTTAGTGATACCATCGATGTATAAATACATTGATGAGGGATACAAACTCAAATTGCTATTTAGAGTGAATACTGACTGACTTCAACAATGCTAAATGGAGTAAAAGGAAGACAGGCATCATGACATACTGTCAAGCATGCGCGTGTGCGTAGGCCCGCGCCAAAGGTTGAGTTTGCAACAGCCAATAACATCCAAGCTTTTCCCCTACTCCAGCTGATACTTCTACCGAACCGAGATCACTTGTGTGGTGTTTGTGTACGGATTCTTTGCTTATTTTATCATGGAAAATTAGTGGTTTAGTCTGTGTCGAAGTGAAATTCATATTCATTTACTCTCTTTTTTAGTGTAAATAAAGTTTATGGTTTAGTTTAAACAAGTGCTCGCGCCCTACCAATATTTAAAATCTAAGAAATAGTGCTTAACCTATACTACATTATATCGATTTGTGTTGTGATCAAGTTCACCTTCTGCTTGTCTTCTTGGCGAAATTTTAAGGAATTACAACTAGCTAGGTAAGTGTTAGATGTGAAATGGGCGATTTTTATGCTCATTCAATCTAGAATTTTACGTTCAGTAGTAAGCTATTTAGCCTTAGGCCTATATTGCTGCTGAATATACTCAAGTCATTTAATCTCGAAAGGGTAGGATTAGCCTGTGGTAGGCCTACGTAGACGTAACTTATTATCCTAAAAACAATATTTTTGTGATTGAAAAATTTGTTTTAAAGCCATATAGCTTAATATGTTTGTTCAAGAATTATGACTATTTAACTTCTTAAGACCTATAAATATTTTAGGTCTTTGAGACAAGTTTGGTTAGGATTGCATTCAAAGGCCTAACATCAAAATTTATCATGTAACCGTCACGTAACTAATTTAAACCCCTACATTTATGATAAAACAAATGTTTAAAAGTTCTTACTTGTAATAGGCTACATCCCATAAAGTTTGGGCTTAGTATAAGTTACTGGTAGGCTATAAGATAGCCTAAAGAGAGGATTAGGCTAACCTCTCTTTAGGCTATAGGATAGCCTAAAGTAAGATTAGGCTAACCTACCGATCCGACAGGGACACCTATACCTGCTACAGTTAAGTTAATAGAAGAAAAACAACAAGGCTAGCCAGCATAAAATACACTGTCTAATACTCGGCATTAGTCTTAACTTAACTTACATCACATAAAAATTGGTGAAGAAGAATTAAGCCTGATACATTTTGAATCACACTCAAAATAAGTTATGTGTACGATCGTTTTTAATCAGGTGTGGGATTAGTAGATAAATACTTGATCTTACCACCAGCCTCGCAGGCACTTGCCCCTTTCAATATTACCCTAAAGCTTTATTAAAACCGAACAGGTTTTGGTACTATCGATGATTGTTACTTAATCCAGTTTGTTTAAACTTAACTTAAAAGTAAGTAGCAAGTTGAACTGGAAGTTAGTAGTTAAACTAACTATTGTGGTGCTGAATGTTACCTATTGAACTAGTCTATAACCTTAAATTTGTGGAAGATTGTATTTTATTTACTTTTAAAAGATTTATTTTTGAAACAGTCTTGTAGATAAAATACAATTTTCTAGGCTAACTTAGTTGACCTTCACATTTCGGGCTAGAACATGTTCTGTTAATCAAACACTTCAAAGAATGCCTGGGCTACATAACTTACTTGCAAAAGGTTAAAGTCATCAGCCAGGTTGAATTATTAAAAAAATAATTAAATTCTTAACAATCAACTCTATTACCTGACAGTGTTTGTAACGGTGGGGAAAAGTAAGAATATGCTGATGAACTCAATTTCAAATGTTTTTTGTTGAATTTCCCATTGAGAATAAGCTGTTACCGTAAACGTACTTAAGTACCATGGTAAGACCTGGGCCCGGGAGAATTGGTCCCGATTATAGGCCTAAATGATATACATTTAAATACTTTTTTACTTTTACTTTTTATCTGATAATTTTACAACAAAACAGCGATTATGTCAATTTGAAAAAAGCCTTGGAGTGAGATTGGCGGCCGATTCACACACACACTCTAACCACAAACCCACTGATTTTGAGTACTGTAAGTTAGCTACACAACTTACCACCTTGCATTGCACATCACTTACCGTATCTTATCTTACTTCCGTGGCCAATGAAACCAAAAGGACTGGCCTCCCATTCTCTTCTTTCCCCTGCCTCTTCTAATGTAGGCCTAGTGTAATGTAGATCCCCAGTCTGGAGATTATCTTCATTAGTTTTGAATGACGCAAAGCACTGGTTTAATGTAAATGGGTTTAACATGAACTCAGACAAAACACAGTCAATTGTTTTTAGGCTAGGTGCAATTCCCGACAATGAGAAACCAATGTCTGTAAGTGTCAACCTTTTAGGAATAGATCTAGATTGTGGTTTAACTTGGGAGGATCACATAAAAAGTGTCAGTCGTAAGTTGTCCAGAGTATTGTTTCTGATTAGGAGGCTAAGAGATTTTGTACCTACCACCGCAGTATGTAAGATGTGCCTATTTTGCATTTTTTCATAGCCATTTGCTGTATGGAATATTGCTGTGGGGAAATTCAACTCATATTAATAGTGTATTAAAGATTCAGAAGAAGGCAATTAGGCTTTTAACTAACTCTAGGCGGCACGCACATTGTAAACCTCTTTTTAGGTCAAAACAAATCCTTACAGTTGTAAATCTGTACATAGCCTACTTGAATGTGTAATGTTTGTAACGAGCAACCCAAATCTGTTTGCACAAAGAGGTGTTTTTCATACTCATCAGACAAGAGGCAGGATGGCACTTGATAGGCCCTATACTAGATTAGCAACTGTTTCTGCAGTGTATCTATTAAAATTGTAAACGCCCTTCCTAACACCTGGCTAGGCCTATCAAGCAAACAAATCAAACACAAGTTGTTAGAATAGCTTATGGACCATCCCTGTTATGACTTGAATGAGTTTTTTGTAGAAAGTGCCAACATGATATTCTAGTCATTATATTTATTCTGACTGTCATTATATTTATTTAGTATTAATCTTATAACTCTATGCATGTTTTTCTCTATCTATTTAACTGTACAGCTATTTATTTATTGTAGCGTCTGTGATATGATAGCCTTTCTATTTTGTATGCTAAAATGTGACTGTGATAATGTATCGCTATTGTTTTATATATGTGTCTCTGACGAGGTCTATTGTAATCAATGATTATTTAATGACCAATAAATTACTTGATTACTTGATTGTCGCTGCCAAGATGAATTAAAACATTAAAACATTGTTATTTTGCTATTCTTTCCTCAAAAATCAAACAGTAAAATAATTTGCATAAGAAGCTTTCCTTTGAAGACTCGGGAAAAGAGCCTCGATTTGTATACAGCAATGGTTATAGTATCATACTTATTCCCTAGGCTATAATCAATGACAAAATCACAGTACCGTAAATAAACTAACCCGATAGTTCCATAGAATATTTTCATATTCAACCAGCTGTTAGTTAAAACAAATTAATGGCCTAATTACACTTTTAAAACAAACTTAAAATTTTAAAGACTGCTCTTAAAATAGATTAGAACATCTGGTATTTTACTATTATATTATACTAGCTGAACCCGGCAGACGTTGTCTTGCCTTTGACTATTTATAATTAAAGTACCGTAACGTTTAATTGTCTTATTGTTACCTATATATGAAGTGCTTATAACTAAATTAAAATACGTACGACAACTAATGAAACATATATAGTACAAAGGATAACCGATTCTTTATTATTGCTCTTATATTAATGCTAGGTTATGCTAGCTTAATTATTAATGGTTATTTTCATTCATGGTTATTAATGACAGTATTTTCAAGATGATTTCTCGTTCGCATGGCTCAATCACGTTCTGGTTGAAGTTCGTTCGCTACGCTCACTCACCTTTAGGTTGGAGCTCGTTCGCTACGCTCACTCACCTTTAGGTTGGAGCTCGTTCGCTGCGCTCACTTGCCTTCAGGTTAGCTCGTTCGCTACGCTCACTTGCCTTCAGGTTAGCTCGTTCACTACGCTAACTCGCCTCCAGGTTGAAGTTCGTTCGCTATGCTCACTCACCTTTTGGTTGCAAATTAGCTGTTGTCATAAATGTAAAAGAAATAATAGTGCTGCACCCTGTTGGTAATCCTTGTAACTTTAATGCTATTGAACATCATAGAACAGAACCAACTTGTTTAATTGAAACAGCTGTTAAGATTCATTAATTCCATTTCTCATAAGGTTAACATGGGAAACTCCAGAGCCACTGGGGCGGAGCCGATTGGACGGATCACGAAATTGATGGTGTATAAACCTATTCCATGAAATTCTACACGTATGTACCAAGTTTCGTGGCAATCGGTTCAGCGGTGTCTGAGTTTATCACTGCCAAATATATGTATATATACAAACATCCTCTTTTATACTTATAGATTTAAATAATCTGTCATCGCCATACCGAATAAATCAAATCAATGATTATATCATCAGGCCTACACATTGTAGGCCTATAAATAAGTCATTCCCTACATAACTTATGTCATTTCATTTTTATCCAAATGCTGAATTTGTGTCATAAACGCTGAATGTTTACAGCTGTTACGTTAAGCATGAAATTATTCCAATGCTAGTCTAGAATGTTAGCGTCGGCTGCTAGACTTTGTAAAAATTAAAACTTAATTTTTAGAAAACTGAAACCCTAAACTCACATTCCCTCACCTAAGTGCTTATTTTAACCCTAATATTGAGCAAAGGATAAGTGTAGAATAGAGTGTTAATGCCTAGAGGAGTAGGTAGTTGGACTGCTGGCACAGTGTATAATATTGGCAAAGCAGAGCTACTGACATTATAGTAACCTTTTGGCAAGAATCAATACAAATACCTCCTCATGAATACCACCCAAGTACCGTAGAGAAACTTTATGAAGAACTGCAAGAAAGGTTGAACAATAACTTACTCAAACTCAATATTATGGTTTAAGTTTCAGTTTAATTATTTGTAATACACATTGCAGCCAATATGTTCAGGTACCTAGTAGTACCGGTATTCAAATTTGTTACTGTAATTTTAGTGGTTAACCATTGTTATCAAAGTTGAGTCACCAACTTTTTAACTTGAACAAGAGGACCCATGCTGCTCTGCAGCGTTAAAAAAATAATTATTTGAGTAATCCTAGTATCTTGGGCTTAACAGAATTCAAATGATCAATAGCCTAGCTCAAAAAAGCCTAGGCCTATAATTTACAGATGACTTTGAGTCTAAAACATATAAAAAATATGAACAATACTGGAGCTATTATTTTTAATCATAGAAAAACCTTATGAAAATTAATTTTTATGTTGGTTATTCACCTTGCGTTTGCTTGAAACTCGTCCGATTTGAATAACTAATAGCTTAAATGAAAGCCGGTATTTCACTGAAGGTTCTTAGACCAAAATTAATAGGATTATATAATTATAACTGGCAAAATACATCTGAAATTGAAGTAAGAATTTGAAAATGAATAAAATTATGTTT